AAAGACACAAAAAAAAAAAAAGAAACACACCCACAAGGGTGAAATATGGATCGTCTCAGGGCTAAAACCCTAAGCGTTTTACCGGAGCAACCCTAGACTGCTGGTGAGCCCCCTAAAATAGGATGGCAGCAATACTAGCATCTTCCTAGGGATATCTTGTTACAAGCAACAAGCACCGCATGCAGTTTCCAGATACGCAGAAAAACGGCAATTCAGATGCATCAATCACGAGAGAGGAATCACGATTCTGTTCTTAATATAAGGCGATTCCGCCTTATAAACTCGACAGTTCAAAGCCATTTATCTACAGAATGACCGTCTCGGAAGTTCCGAAGGTTACAAGTATGTTCCTTCACTAACGTAAATATTTCACGTAACGAATAACCAATCGAAGTTCTAATCTGAGTATGTCAAAGTGAAAAGCATTGGTGCGTGCAATCATTATTCGATATATTCGTCGAAGCAGCCTCCGCTGTGGCGGTTTTTGAAGGGCAAAGCGTACGCTAAGAAATAACGTTAAAATCATAAGCTAAAAAAAACAAAAAAACGGTTTATGCTTGGCGCATGCGCATTGGCGACTTCGCCATTCTTTTTGCGTATGCTATTATAAGATTTACTCAGTGCATCGCGAGTTGCAAGCATCGAATTTTCGTCTCTCCGTAACCAATGAGATTGCAGTATGCGTGAATAAGAACACCGAAGGAACCAATCACGAAGCAAGAGGCGTCATAAGCCCCGCCCTGTTTTTCTTAAGCTGTTGGTGGCTGGATAGACACAAGGTTAAAGAAACTGGCTCACAGCCGGGTCCACTTCTCTGCCGGGAGTCCGTTGTACCTTGAGACAGCGGTCTTCGAATTCTTCCAGCAGTTTAGCCACCGTTTTGTGGTCGCCAGTGTCGTGCGCCAGGACCGCGTAATTCAGGCAGATCACGGGGTCACTAAAAAAGTACGACGAAGTTCAATGAAACAATCGACGCGATAGTAGCGTTTTATTGGGTCGCTTGTCTGCAGGTATTTATTTATTTATTTATTTTGCCTACCAACAGCCATTGGCCGATTACTATGGGTGGTCGTTACGGGCTGGTCAACTGAAACCGACTCGAACTCCCATTAAACCTTTCTCGTTGGCTAAGAAGTTATATAAAACAAGTTCGTTAAATATACACCCAAAGAAAGAAAATTATTTCAAAGTAGAGTTACTTTAAATTCAAGTGTATACCTGATTACCTACTTTAAAGTTTACAATTAAAAATATATATTTTGCTGAGTTACGTGATTACCATGACTCGTCAACTTATCTATTGTGATTTTTCGTAGAGTCATTTACCTGTACAGAAGCTGATAAATTTGTGTTGCTTACGCGAGACGTAATATGTGGGCCTGTTTGTCGCGAAGCACTCAGACGCCCCGCAAGAAATTCTCACAAAGATACCCCCTACAACACCGCTGCTTGAAACCTCGATGAAATACTTTACTACAAATTATCTTTATTGTTAAAAAAATATCTAGTAAACATTATTATAGTAAAAAAAAGAGAAAAAGTTCAACATGTTGAATGACGCAGCAGAGGAACCTCGCTAAACCATCAACTTCGCTTTTTTGCGTAGCATTGCACTCCTATCTCAAGTCGACACAAACGAACACGTAAAGTATGCCCCCCCAAAAAGTTCCAAGAAGTCACTTCTGTGCGTGTCTGTTTGGGGGGGGGGGGGGGGAGGGTAAGGGGCACAGAATGCTTGTGTTTTTGGACGCTAAAATAATATAAGAGGATGGACCCAAAAGCAACCTGAATTTGTTTACATCAAATCGTGGATTTATTTTTGACACGTTCAAATTTCAGTAGCCTTCAAATTACTCTCCGCCTGGTGCAATGCAGATGTTGAGATGTTTCTTCCGAAGCTCAAAACAGTCTTTCAACGCGCCGATGTTGAAGCCCTTCAGTGCTCCTGCCATTTCTTATTTTACCTCTTCCACATAAGCAAACCGTTTATCTTTTAGAATTTTGTTTTTCATCCGGGAAACAAAAAGGTCACACGGGACGAGATCTGCTGAATGGGTGGGCGTAAAGGCCGGTTCACACATACAGCGGAGCGCTAAGTTAGCGCTACGTGAGCGCTCGAAAGAGCGCTAACGTGGCGCTTCCTGGCGCGTGATGTAGCGCTCTGTTAGCGCTTCAGAAGCGCTTCTGTAGCGCTCTGTTAGCGCTCTCACGCTCCTTGTGACGTGCTTGCTGCTGCGGAATAGCGCGTGCACGGCGATTCCTTGGTTGTCGTTTTTCCTTTGGCATTGAAAGAAGAGGAAGTAAAAGAGCCGGTCTCTAAGCAGAGGGTCGGGCAGGCGACCCAAAGTTATGGACTCTGAGCGACCTATTGATTGGGTACGACCTCATAGCTTTCAATTCGATATGTGTGACGCTGGTTTCAAGGACACACAGGTAAAAATAATCGCCTTCGAAAGAGCTCTGTGTCTCGGTCCCTCAGCCTAGAAACAAGGTTCGCCTAGGGTGCCTCAATGTCTTTCTGTTTAGGGTGATGCCACCCTTTGTAGTACCAGATGCCGACAGCACGCGCTCACGGGAAAAATATAAAGAAATCGACGAAAACAAAATGTCGCCATAGCACAGTCAGCGCCACAAGCGCGTGCAGAAACACGCTCTTTCACGCGCTTCTGAACAAAAAATAAAAACAAACGTGTGTGACAAAATGGCGAGATGCCACCACCCTAAGCAAAGCGCACATGAAGGCACCCTAGGTTCGCCGGGTACCCGTCGGTATCTCGGTGGCGAAAGATTTTGCGCACCCAGAAGGCTCTTCTCGGCGTTAGGCCGTCCACACAGATATGCACTAATCGCGTATGTAAGAGCGTTTGTCGCATTTCTATTTCAGCATCCCACATGTCCACCATGGTGCTGCTGATGCACACCCAACCACAGGAACCGAAACCGCAGTGCACCTGCTAATCTGCACCACCGCGCTACAAGAAACGCTAACACGGCGCTACTGAAGCGCTAACAAGGCGCTACGGGAGCGCTAACAAGGCGCTACTGGAGCGCTAACAAGACGCTACAGGAGCGCTAACAAGGCGCTACTGGAGCGCTAACAGGCGCTACTAAAGCGCTAACCACGCGCTATATTAGAACGAAGTCACGCGCTGAAAGCGCCACATGAGCGCTCCTTGGAGCGCTCACATAGCGCTAACTTAGCGCTCCGCTGTATGTGTGAACAGGCCTTTAAGGTCCGCCGAACACTCAGCGCGGTGCCAGGCAGGCGCGCTGTCATGATGGACGCACCAATCTAACGAAGCGAGGCAGGAATTTTGCTGTAACTAGTTTCATGTGCAAATCTTGTAATGAAATTCGCTGTCGGAAACTCTAATCACTCCAGTCAACTCCTCAAGTTCATCAATCGTCCGACGGCAGTTATCGAAGATGGATGACGAAGTATTGCCACAATCCCTTCAGTTCGGATGGTCGAAGGAGGCCCGGAACGAGGTTGATTGCCAATGGACATTTCGCCTTGTTTAAAACAGAAAAACCATTCGTAAACTTGTTTTTTTACGAAAAAAAGTTTCCTTGTAAGCCGTCTCAGGGAAATAAAACTTCACTAACGCGCGTTGTTTGTATAAATTAGTCAACACAAAATAGGCAAACGCGTTGAAAGAGTCTCAGAAAACAATCCACAAAGGCTGAACGCAGTGTCTCACAAGAACGCCGACTGCTGCACGGATGCATACGGGCCCCTATAGAAAACACAGCTAGCGGAGGAAACTGGTAATTCAAGGAATTCAACTTCCAGAAAATAATTCCGGTTACTTCTGGGTCCCGCCCTTCATATTCAAAAAGTAAGAATTTTCTGAGGATTTGGTGCACGCACCTAAACTTCTGCGTTGCATCTTCTGGAATGATTTTATCTTACACCAGTTGAATTTGCGGACCCTGTACACCTGTACTCTCTATTAGCAAGAAAAGCAAAAACTGTACAGTGTAAAAAGACTGCGCGTTGACTTTCCCGCAAAACAAAGAAATACCCAATCACGGCGAAGAACATAAGAACCCCAGCGAATGACAAAGCTACTAATATGATTAGATCTAAAAGTGCGATGGGCGCAGGGGGTATGGATAAGTGAAACGTCACAATCATTCGCATATCGATTTTTTTTTTTTTGGGGGGGGGGGGGGGGGAGGGGGGGGCGGAAAGAGGGGGGGGGGGGGAGGAGTTCTAATCGTATTCTGGGTTTCGTCGTTCGCCGGGATTATCATATTGTTCGCCGTGATTGACTGCCTTTAGGTTCTGTTCGAAAGTGAACTCAGGTTTTTAGAGCGTATATTGCGACTCGAATCAGTGAATAGTCAGTTTTAGCATTGCGTATACGAGTGAACGCAAGCACTGTGCGTTTGCGTTACCGTTGCGTGTTCCACACTGCGCGTGCGCGGAGCCCGAAACCGCGGCCTTAGATTGGCGCATGGCGATTTCGCGCATGCGCAGCGTGAACACGCAAAGCTAACGCAAACGCATATCGCTTGCGTTTGCTCGTATGCGCGTAATGCTAAAACTCACTATTAAAACATCGGAACAATCAAACGTAGCAGAACTTTCAGCAGTGCATCCTCGATGGTAATCTGTCACATGCCTTGCTTATATGTTCTCATTCTTTTTATTTACTCCTAGGCCTTAGTGTATACATATCAACAAAATTATTGTTTTGAATGTACGTGAAAAAATAAGGTGAAAACTAAACTGGGCTGCGAAAAAAGACTCTAGGCAGAGCAGAGTCAACCAGACTACCCAGCGAAAATGACGGGAGGCGTCAGTAAGAGGGCCCACGAGAAAAGACAAGTTTAAACTCACTCGTCCAACAGCATGGCCTTTTGGTATGCCCTCTTCGCATTCTCAGGGTCTTGCAGGTTCCGGAGTGCAACTACAAAGATAAGACGTACGATATTGGCTTCCATATACCTCCTGAAAAAAGCAAGAATTATCTTCGGCGCCAGCGGGGCGCGCGAAAGTACTGCGCAGGACAGTTAACGCGAACGCGACGTTATGCCGTTCTGTAGTGCACTAAAGCAGATTAATCTTCAACATAATTTTACAGATTATGGGTTGATTCCTCATATAAGCATATTCCACAACACTAGTAGTTTTGATGCAACCTTTCCCACTTAGAAAGTTAAACAGAAATGCCGATTGCGTGTTTGTTTCAGCTGTGTCGCCCCCCGAACATCGATCAAAACAATCTTAGAAATTACTTCTAGCCTTATATGTTTTATTATGTTGCTGTAGCGCTTCTGTCGGGAGATTTTATGAAATGCGAAGCCAAATTAGCGCTGCGGAAATGCGATGCTAGCTACTGTGGACTACAAAGTCCTATTTGATGTTTGAGAAGCACGAGACAGTTAACGTAAATACCCAGGAGATCGCCGCCATTTCTTTTGTAGGTAAAGCACTATTGTTGAAACTATGCAGTAGAATATGGAGTAAACAGGGAGCGCGTTTGAAATACTGATGATACTCCGCAAACGTCTTCTATGAGTGCACTCGACACACGTTAGACAGGAAAAAGGGAGGTTCAGCTCACTGGCAAGCAACATGAAGAGCTGTCCGTTCCTGGCGTTGAAATTAACGGCGGCGCTGAAGAAGTGGAAGGCTGACGCGTACTGCTGCATGGTGAGGTGGACCATGCCCAGATTGTGCAGGATCTCCCAGTCCAGGGGGGACAGGTAGTTGGCTCTTTTCAGGCAGCTGATGGCCTGCATCATGCCGCTTGGAAAGTCAGAATAGGGTGGTGCATAGTGTTTAGAAAATTTTAGCTAGTTTCGTGACCCGGATGGAACATTGTATAAAGACATCATTGAACGAGCATCGACATTTCGAAATGCGTTGTCTGTGCATCATAGTCAAAGAAGATTAGCTGTTTGTAAGCATATAGAATACACTGTTGCTGATGATGATGATGTAGCTTAATACGAGCGGGGGCACTCAAAACGCTGTGAATACTCGTTCTCAAAAGGATCTCCTTGAGAGGTATTAATGCTCGTGCCGCTGGACTGTTTTCATCGTACGATGAACTCTCACTTTCTGTAAACAGTGGGATGGTCTATAGATTGTGAATTTTCGTCAAAGAAAAAGTCAAGTCTGATAAAAAAAAAACACAAAAGGGGTTTAAGGTAAAACTTGGCGTGATTTTTTGCCTATTTCATTTTTAAGCTCAGTCCTACATGGTGACATCTGAGGACGGATAGAGCCGAGGGAAAATAAAAGTGTATATAGTTGAGTTGTCAGTGACACAACCTTTTGATGGCTTCTCATACCTTATCAGATTGATTTGAATAGCTTCCTATGGGAATCCCCACGTATACCTCTTAGACAAGAGCATTTAATAAGAAATTTATAAGTATTCGCAACCCCAGACCGTCGCTCGCTTTCTCGAGCATGAACGAAAAACCAGAGGAGCGGGGACGGCGGCGCAAACGGTGGCAGTGATTGTCGGCCTTGGTGCTGCTTTTAACGCAAGGTTCTGGTTGGCGCGTTCGTGCATCATGCCACGTCAACATCTCCGGCAACTGTGATATGCTGCTGCCCTGTCCGCTTCTTATTTCTAGCCAAATAAATTAATTTTAGGAATTGACCAGCGTCAGCAAGCAAGCGCACATGGAATCCTGGAGGGTATATTCCCGTCTCTTCCGCCGTCTTGTGACTACCGCCCCGCCATTTATAGGGCGTTGGAAATGCGAATAAATATAGCTACATATTTTGTTTTCCAAGATTTATAGAAGTCAAGATTGACTTTTATAAACTGACTTTTATAAATTAACCTTTCCATAGAAATGTACAAAAGACACAAAGGACTGAACGAGCTTTCGCTCCGGAAGAATGTGGGCCATGCTAAGCCGTATACATGGCTTGCACGTGACGTCAGTCCGCCCCTCTTTCAGGTGGCCCCAAACGTCTCGTTGACGCAGCGGTAGCTACTCTTCTACGCGCTATTTCCCTCTTTTTTTTTTTGACCAAGCGACGTCAGTGCAAGCTATGCTTACGACGGCAGTGTGCTTTGGAGAAAACCATATGACGCAATGGACATATGCTAGATGGTGACGTCTGCTTCAACCGGCTGAATACTGTCGCTTAAGCATTATGATAAGCGGCAATTTTCAAGCAACTAAATAGGCTCAAGTAATAACAACATATTAAAAAAAACGAAAGATGTTAAAGAGGATTTCAAGCTAGTTAGACTTTCAGCCATGTAAAATCTTCAGCTGAAATGGAAAAGCACTACCTCAGTTACGTTACGCGCTACATAGGTAATTTTCCAGGACTGTATATATCTTTTTAATGATGGCTTCAGTTGCGAGTTACGAAAAGCGCATCTCCGTTGTTTTGCATCGAGTAATTTCAAGTAATACATCTGGTCGGTTTGATAAACGTAATTATAGAGTATCAAAAAAGGAATAGATGGTTGAAGGGAACTTAAGTGACAACAATTTAAAGCCCGATGAGAAAGAAAAAAAAATTACGAGTGAAAGCGTGCGGAGGGTGCGCTTCTTCCTACTGCGCAAGATTCAAAGAATGAACTTACTCAAAGGTCGAACGAAGCACACTGTGCGTTTTGATGCAAATCTATTCTTCGAGCGAAGTATGTAGCGCACTGCTGGTAGGCAGCGATATCATAATTGTGTAAGCTTCCTAATTACAATAAAGCATTCTATTGTACTTTCCTTTTTCAAAGTTCATCCTTGTTTTATTTGATGTGCATGACTCGCCTTGTTATATTTTGTTGGGCATATACTGTTCAGTTTCCGTACAGTGAGCGATAATGAGGTTTGGTATTTGTGTGTTCCTTAGATGACTTTTTTTTTCTTTTAATGTTAATTATAATCTGTATTGTCGTGTTTTTTTTTGCATCCAGTGCGCATTTTTATCCTTATGTGCATGGCTTTTATTGTTGCATTTGTTTTAGGCATCTGTGTCTCAGTTCTGTAAAAGTTTTTGGAATGCATTTCCATGTTAATTTTTATGTATGGACTGTAAGGCACCGGTGCCACGTCAGGCTTTTTTTAACCTTTTGCACCGGCCCTTCTTTCGGGCTCTGCCCGGGGGAAAACAAATAAAGGAAAAGAAAGAATAAAGTGCACTTGGCGCTTTCAACGTTGCCCATGTCCTGCTTTCTCAATTCCTATATCATCATACCCTCCTTTTTCTTCTTTTGTCACGAGGGTTTCAGACCTTCAACTTTGTGCAGAGTAAATATAACGGAAGACAAGACCTCCGTTTTTCATCCTACTCCATTCACACTTAAGCGCGCTTTGGAAGCTATGCGTTTGCCGGACCGACCACCCGCCTTCCTTCCACCACCTGACCCCGCTCCCTGCGCGTGGGTATACGGGCGACAGCGTAATTACGTGGCAGAAGTTGACATATATATGGTTCATCGCGCATGCATAGCATCCACCACACTGCCAACTTAAGAGTGAAGGGGCGGATCATAAGTGGCAAAGCCTGTGGCGTATCCAAGCATTTGTTTCGGGGGGGGGGGGGGGGGGGGGCTGAGGTAACTTGGATGTCTATGAGTTAGGGTGCGGAGGAGGGGGGATGCTGAAGCACCATAAGCCTTCCCCTGCCTCCGCCACTGCGACAAACACGCGGCGAAGCGGCAGACGGGTGATGCTGTCATATGTCTGTCTTTAGCCACTTGATCACGCTGTTGCCCATACCCGCGCGCAAAAAGCGGGTTCAGGTGACAAAGGGCAGTCGGTTAATAGGTCCGGAGTATAGGGTGCCTTCATGAAGGCACTCTAGTCCGGAGAGCACGCAACTCCTGCCGTACTCTAAGCTTAGGCGTGAACGGAGTATGCGCCGAAAAACCGAGGGAAGGTTGGAGTCGAGAGCGCGCGATGACGTCAGAACGCCAAGTTTCGGTTGGAATGATTAGTGGATAGACCTAAAGCTAACAGCCTTTGTCTTCACTCCACTCGTCGAACGCGTTAGAACGCGGAACGCCGGCGTCCAGAGTTTGACTGTCGTGCTGGAACACGTTCTACGAGTGCAGCGGAGACAAAGGCAGCCAGCTTTATAGCCCCTATTGCTGTTTGTAAACATGAACTTCAGCTTGCGTTCCAAGCGACTTCCGGTCGCACCGTCCGTTGAGCTTGCTTATGCTACCAGTGTTAGAAAGCATAAATGCTACACGGACAACAGAGTTGGAGATTTAACGAGGGCCTTTAGCTGTACAATATTACACCTTGAAGGAGGGAAGTTGGTTTACAAGAGTACTGAAAACATTTTAACAGACCTCGCACTACTTCGCTCTTTTGGCGTTCACTGGAGAATTGGTGGTTAAAAGTTTCGTCTACACTTCAAGAAGCGGTGTTAAGGTGGCCTCATAAACTTATAATAATGTACGCTACAGGTTTAAGGCGCTATAGTGTCTATGCAACTTCGTGACGCAAACTGAAGCAGACAGCAACCAGTCTACTTTTGCGGTGCTCCTGTGCATTCTCATGGGAAAACGCGCTTGCGTTTTGTCTCTTCGCCGGTGAATAACATGGAACACTGGTTATTTGGCTCCTACCGAATAGTGTGTACCTTGATTAACACTGTACAAGTGTAACTGCTTTATATAGCGTATTTTTCTTCATCAGTGAACGATGTTTAACTTCGCTACATTTGAGTCCCAAACATTTGTTCCACAGCAGGTGTGTAAAAACAAGGGACGATTCAAAGCAAAAGAACAATAGAAAAGAACGTAGAGTGTGTTCAAGGTTCGTCAGCATTCCGTTGGTGCTTATACATTGCTAATATGCCTGTCCTCTTACTACATAAAAGTGACCCCGTCGTGCATCTTTATGAGCGGATAAAAACCTTCAAAACGTAAAGAATAAAGTACGTGGGCTATGAAGGGTGTCTTTTTGGATTGTTTTTTCTACCGGGCAGCTATTATCGGGCACTTGTTGTCAAAGATTTCGAGCGCGCGGGTGATGTTTTGAACGTAGGACAAGCATCTTCGTCATCAGCAGAAACAATAAAGCAGTACTTACTTACTTAAAGTCGGTATGTATTACGTGGCCTTCAATTTCTTTTGCTTGTACATGCACGGGTAGTTACTGATCCAGTGTTACTGCGTAGTTCTTGCCGTTTCTCTTGGTTTCCAGATGTCCTTCGTTCGTGTGGCACGTATATCCCTCATGCTGAAAAGCGCTGAACTCTTGTTCGCGCTAACAGTGTCCGACAGTGCACATAAATACACGTACGAAGCCGTTTTAGCACCGTTTCTACGGCAATGAATTCGAAAGAAAAACACCTTAACTCACGTATTATTTCGTATTGAGAAATGTTCCAAGCTATTTATAGGTGACAGGTCAAGAACAAAGTGGAAGCTCCATCCACCCCTTTCCACTTCAGCGGAGCGAACGGTGGAGAGGAGGTCTCCTCCTCTCTAGCGTTCGCTTTACAAAAGTGCAAAGAGGTGGGAGGAGCTTCCACGTCGTTCTTGATCTGTCACCGTCTATAGTACGTACGACTTATACTGGATATTCGCTCTTTTGATTGAGCGAGAAAGGGTCTATAGACCTTTGCAAAAAGATTGCTCTGGACGCCGCCATTTTGCGAATCGAGCGACCCCTATCAGCCAGAAATTTCTGGCACCCGCCTGAGCTGTAGAAACCCGGTCAGCGTGACTCCCCACCTGCATTTTGCATTCGGAGTTCGCCGGCTTTTCTTGGAAGTTTTTATTTTATTCGCCTGTTTAGGATGCTTACCCTTTGTATGTTATCTTCCACTGTGAGAACCAGGGAATACCAGGGCTCGTAGCCCGCTTGGCCTTCGCAGGGAACGAATGAAGAGAGCGGACGTCAAGCAGCCCGCGACGCAGGCAGTTCGACGTGCTTGGAGGATTATTTCCGTCGAGATAATCTCCAAAAAGCCTTCCAGGCTGTGTTCCGGTTCTTCGGAAAAACTAGCTGATAGGGTCGGGTCCGGGGAGGGGCGACATAATAAGCACGTTCGTTCATTTGCTATGAAGCTGTGCAAAAAAGGAGCTCTCTTCTACATGTTCCCCAAAACACGCCGGATTCCGTCCGATAGTCGTGAAGCGACTATCGTCGACACTGTATATTGGACATGCTGTGTTAACGCGGCACCGAGGGGTACGTACAATATATTTTTTGTTCGATTGATGAGACTCATTGAATTTTATGTTGTGGGCGGGGAATATCCATGCAGTACGGATATCCTGTGTGGTCAAATATTTTGACCTTTATAGATTAACACGGCTGAGTTTACGGTGCCGTAAAACAATGAACATAAAATGAAACAAACATTCCAGTTGCATTTTTTCTGTCGCGCACAAACTCACCAAAACAGCTTTCATTTCTTTGTTTTTGTTCCCGAAAATAGAGCACTGCTTTCTTAGAGACCTCTATAAATTATGCTCGCCACAGAACACAAGATAAAAAAGAAAACGCGGCAATTCAGCCGCCACCAGCGTCCGGAATTGCTCCTACGCAGGCTGCCACAGCCTACTGACGAGAAACTCCACAGCTCAGCGCAGTCGGGCAACACTGACGTATCCTCTCAAAACCAGGGACACGCGCTGTAAATCGCTTCGTTCGAGACTGCCGCTGGAAAGGTCTATAGGTCTACTTACAATACTCCGTTCACCTTTAAGTTGAGACTGCAGCGAATGCTATACAAGCGCGAGCTTGCCCAAGCTCCTGGCTTTGAGACGTGCATTTCTAGCGCGAGTGCTCGTTCTGCGGAACAACGCTTCAAAGCAGCGACTTCGAGTCCTCGTGCTTGTGGCATTGGCTGCAGTCTCAGCTTAAAGGCCGACGACCAGACTCGAGATTCTGCAAGGCAGAAGATCGTCCTCATCATGGGGGAGGAGGAAACAGGCAACGGTGGACAGGGTTGAACGGGGGGAGAGGAGGGAGCGGGGGAAAAAAGGAAAGCGCGAACTGGTCGTTGGTCTTTAAGGGTGAACGGAGTATAATCATTCCAACCAGAGCTCGGCATTCTCACATCCCCCAGCGCTCTCGTCTCCTCCTCTCCCTCAGTTTCCCGGTGCATAGTGTTGGCTCGTGGTGTGACGTCTAATGAGGAGTTTCAGCGAATATAGGGGGCGCTCCGATCGATCCAACATGGCGGACAAGAGGGGGATAGATTTGCGACGCCCGTAGACCGGTAGCGTATCAATAAAGCAAAGCGTGTCGTTCTCTGTTTGTTGCCGTGTGCGAGACGATCATCGTTTCAACCAAGACCTACCGTGATGCTACAGATGAAGTCTTCAAGCCAGTTGAAGGCAAGAAATCTTGCCAGAGTCAAGATATGTGTGCAAGTGTTCGACGTGAGCTCTCACTTCTGGTGCAGCTGTCAAGTTGAACCGAATGTACGCGGGTCCAAAGAAAGGTACTTACATATCAACAATGTTCGCGCGTTGAAACTATGACGCGTAATTTATCTCAGACTAAACTTATCAGTCTGCGGCTACAAACATTTTCGTTGACGTTGCTTAGATGATGTAACCATTCAGGCCTCGCATTAAAAGGTGTCGCGAACTCTTCGGTTGTTCTAGTTAATTGTGCTAAAAAGCGGTTGGATAGAAATTATGACAACTGCAGCATACAAGGGACGATTGAGGTCTTTATCCTGCGTTCTGTGTATCGAAACATCGGTATCGTTGGTGTTATCTTGCGATCAGCTGGTCGCCGATCGTCCTGTTTTTACGCGTAATGTAAACAAGCCCCGGAACCGCCAATCTCATTTCTATGTGCTTGTGCACCCCTACAAGCCTCGTTTTGGCTCTTGTGGAAAGCTTTATTGTAATAGCAATAGTCTCATCGGTCATTCGAGCTGTATGTGCCACGGTGATATCTGCTGACAAAGAAGTCTGTATTAAATGCGAGAAGGAGAACGAAGGTAAAGCTTTTTTAACTGTTTACAGAACAGGGCAAAGCTTCTAAAACAAGACCAAACTAAGCTGATATTTGAGTGTGCTCAAGAATGAATGCCAAAGGTGCTTATGCTAAGTGGTAGATGTATGCAGTTGATTTTCTGTTTGCCTCTGCATTGTAAATGGGAAGATATGTATCAGCAGAAGACACATCCTTTTGAAAATGTCTTTTATTAGGGCAAAAACAGGTTTTCATACAGAACCAAAGAGTCGCAACACCATTTAATGCGAGGCCTGAATGGTTACATCATCTAAGCAAAGTCAACGAAAATGTTTGTAGCCGCAGACCGATAAATTTAGGTTTAGATAAGTATGCGTCATAGTTTCAGCCTCAAACACGCAACATTGTTGATATGCACCTTTCTTGATGACAACTGCACCAACGTGAGAGAGCCCACGTTGTCGAACACTTGCACATATATCTTGACTATGGTATAACAAGATTTCTTGCTTGAAGTGAAGATCATCTCGCTACGACTAGCTACGACCACCCACCGCAGCGATGCAGGCGTCGAAGGGGTGCAACGCAGTCAGTCGCCGTCGCCCGACGCTGCTCGTTTGGCATTCACGGCTTTCTGCCCAGGTGCTTCGTTTGTACTTGGCACCGAGTGTTATTTTCTGTGCTTGTGTGTGATCTGTGGCGAGATATGGGCCTCAAAAGCAGTTCTTCAGGCTCAATAGCGTTCACCGAAGAACTTCTGAAGAAAATGCCACCCAGGAAAAAAAGCACGAAGACACAACGCACCAGCTTGGCGGACTATCCACTGGGCGCGGAAATCGGGCCCTGCGAATTATACACCAAATGCAAACTATCTAAACAAAACAGAAACATTTTTAGGCTCAAATTGGCTTCTGCGGACTATACGCCTGGACACTGGTGCCTGTTATTATGCATTGTATATTCACTGCTGTTTGTTGTGGCTTGAGACTGCCTTCCTGTAATGATGCAGAGGGGTCCACTGAACCTTGAAATAAAGATATTTAAGCACATCTAGATGCAATGCCCCTGGAAGCCAGATGGTCAGGGAAAAGGTGTGCCATTATCTAATTTGCCAACAGCAGACCAATGGTCACAATCAAAACTCACCGAGTCAATGGGCAGTTTTTCACCACAATATTTATTGCCGTGTAATCACCAATTTGGTCCATTAAAAATCTTGAGGCTGTAGCCTATAGCACATCTATTCTGGATCTGCAAAGCTTATGCTGTAGACATGCATTATCACATGAGCATGTTTCTTATCAATCTTAAACGTGAAACGCTAGTTATGCAACGAAATTCCCATATCATCACATTTTTAGCAAATTGAATGGTCCCACCTGTCACACTGTTAGCTTTGGAAGTAAACCAATTCACAATACCACCAGTGGCATACATCGTGCCAAGCATTAGTGCCGCATGTAGCACAAAAATGTCCAACTAGGGAAGCAAAAGTTAATCGATCGTGTTGATTAAAGAACTTAAGTACGGGAGAAATTACCAATCAGAAGGTCACCCGAAAGGGAAGTTTTTTCGCTGAACGAATATGACTTTTTATTGGGCGTTCCGCAATGTAAGGCCGAAGACATTCACTCCGTGATCGGTACAGAAGCATTTGCTTAGTAGTCGGTCGTGCGTGCTAAAAACAACAAAAACAAAGGTGGATTAGAAACGCGATAGATTCGCCTTTGCACGGAGTACTTACACTCAAAATCGTGTCAACATAAAGCGACTATGGCCCACCTTGCTAGCAGCAATCTTAAAATTTATCCGTGTAGTCGTCGCTGCCGTGCACCAACCGAAAGCGTTGCTGCAAACCCTTCCGCCGTCAACTTTGAATCGCTGTTGAGTCTGAAGAACTGCTCTATGAGGTCCATATCCAGCCACTGAGCACATACACAAGCACAGGAAATAATACTCGGTTCCAAGTACAAGCGAAACCCGGGGCGGAAAGCCCTGAATGCCGAACGATCTGCGTCGGGCGACGGCGGCTGACTGCGTAGTACACAGGTTGCGCTCCTTCGACGCCTGCATCGCTGCGGCGGGTGGTCGTAGCTGGTCGTAGCAGATCGTGTCACCTCTGTTGCTCGTACCGAAACACTAGAGCCGCGTAATATTCTTGTTGCCGAAGTTTATAAGCCTACGTTCGCGGCCAACGCATATACACAAAGCCACCGCCCTGACCGCCCAGCGACCCTATCCCCCTCGTTCTCTTTCGGCGACCGGCCGCCAGGGCGGTGACACCGTCGCTGAAACTCCTCAAAACTCAGCCGTTGCGTCGGGGACGCGCTCGAGATGAGGGGGACGCGAGCTGGAAGGGTCTGCGTGGTAGATCTACGCTGTGATGACATAAGTGGAGGAAAGGCGCATGCCTTTAATTCTATATTACTCTCAACTTGCAATGCTTATTCACCGATGTTTACTTGCACATAAGCTCGCTACCGCCTTCTATCGCGGACCCCTGCGCGCTTCCGGTTTTCCTCTTCTTTTCCATTTGTCATCGCGTCCTTTTGTTATTTGTCCTACTTTCTACAACGAGCGCAGGATCTTACAGACGTGTTACAGGAAACCCCCCCCCCCCCCCCCCCCCCCCCCCCCCCCCAAGGGAAGATCTTCTTTCCCGATCGCTGTGCGTTGCTGAAAAACCGGGACGCCAAATACTGTGGCGCCCTCATGGTAGCAGCTACCGCCGAATGCGGTGACTACTTACAGCGACGTACTTCTTCTTGCCGAAGAAGCACATGCCTATGTTGTTCCAAAGGGCGGGGCTGTCCGGCAGTGCCGCGGCGATTGCGCGGTACTTGGACAGGGCGACCTCGAAGTCGCCGTACGTCTGCATGATGCTCCCGGCGGCCAGCACGGCGGGGGCGTAGCTTGAGTCCACGGCCAGCGCCGCACCGAGCCGCTCGAACGCCTTCTGGTACATGTTGCCCTGCACGAGCCCATGGTCTTCAGGACGAGTACACTTCGCTCCTAAATTACAGCCGGAGACAATACGAGCACATAAACTGTATCAGAGGATGCCCCGGACGACGTCTGACCCATGGAGCTCACACGTCGTCCGGGGCGTTGCAAACGAAGACGGATGTTTAGATCGTGACAACGAAATATTGACTCCATATGATTCAGTTATGTCTTTCGCAATGGGGTACTCAAATGTGCACAACGTTCGTCGTTGCCTTCCATCTTTTTCCTTCTCAAAAATTAAACAATAGCGAGTTTTGGTGCTGCGTATGCGAGCAAACGTAAGCTCTGTGCGTTTGCGTTAGCGTTGCGTGTTCCACACTATGCGCGGAGCCCTAACTTCGATTTTGGTCTTTAATTGGCGCACGGCGAAGACGCGCATGCGCAGTGGGGAGCACGGAACGCTAACCTAAACGCACAGCGGTTGCGTTTGCTCCAATACACAATAGGGAGTTTTCGTAGACCGCGCTGCCCCCTCCGCTAAGCGTTCCGCAACGAAGAAGTTGCTACTGCGCCTGCGCGCCGATAACCTTGACTGTGGAGTTCCCGCTATCGTAGCGGGTTGCGGAGGGCCTTGCGGGACGGCGAAGACGATCTACGAAAACTCCCTAATACTAAAACTCTCTAATGACTGTGACGCGCCAAGCGCTGTGTTCCACGTAGTGCTTCAACCCATCTGATCGCCTGCTCCGGTAAAGCCGCCAATATGTGCTTTTGCTGTACACTCTAAGAAAAAGAGAAAAAAGCCCGTGCGTTTACTTTATTGCACAACACTCGGAGAGCCAATCACCGCAACTTACGGAGATAGCTCAGCGAATGACGATGCTGAAACATATGTTTAGACCAAAAAAACGCAGTCTGAGTTGTGACATTAAGCAATTCAAAACGTAACGCTTGCATTGCTTAATGTCACTACTCAGACTGCGTTTTTTGGTCTAAACATATGTTCCGGCATCGTCATTTGCTGAGCTACCTCCGTAAGTTGAGGTGATTGGCTCTCCGAGTGTTGGGCGAGAAAGTAGACACACATACTTTTTTAAGAGTGTAGACCTAACTTAGAGAGGGAAAGGGGGTGGGTGGGTTAGTCCTGCTCTGCCCCGCCCACAACAGAAGATGCTTAGCCAGATAAGCACCATCTCATTGGTTGGAGAGATGACTGACCCGTGAAATGTTCGTTGTAAAATTTTCTTACCTTGCCGAAAGGGTATTTTTATCCGCGATAATTTTTGTGTGAAAAAAAAGAAAAGATATAGACAGGGTCATTATTGTTTTAAAAAATAACCCAAAATCGCATTTTCCGTTTTGGCTTCCGACGATAAGAAATATGGCTGCTGTCGTTTGCGACGTGCTCAACGAGCGTAGCTCGTTCAGTTGGTTTATCTTTATGAGTGTTGGTCGTTTTGCGTTCACTGAGGTGTTTAGAGGAAGCTCTCAACCGGACCTAGTTTGCAGTAAAAAACTGTCAAAGGTACGCGCCTTAAGAAGCGTTGTGCGGACGCTTGTCTCGTAGCGAGACTAGCCTAAGCCTAGCGTTCCAAGCCAACTATTAGAGCGCAGCTCTTATGCGCCCGTTTCCGGCTTGAGCGGCGTCGCCGTCGCTGTCGCCGTCGGTGTTGGCGAAACCGCGCGTTACGGAGGAGGAGGGAGAAGGATGGGAGGAGGAGGAGAAGGGAGTAGAAGGGAAGGAGAAGGGAGGGCGAGGAGGAAGTGGAAGGAGGAGGTAGGTAGGAAGATGAGGTGGAGGAGGAGGGGAGATGTCAGCTACCCGTTGTGCAGGCAAGTGATATCACCACTCATAAATCACAGAGAGGCACGTATGAAAACGTGGTGTACTCGTTATCCAAGTGGCCAGCTACATGGGTCTACACTGTACCCATCGATCTCTGTGGCACGTCCAACGAGGTTAATGAACTTTGCGCCGCAAAGGTCGATATGGCTTGCTCGTGTTAGCTCTGTATCTCTCGCCTACGGCACTCACCGAATATTTCGCGCAAGACGTAGAAGAACTTCATACCAGTCATGCAGGAAAACATCCCATTGGCCCCGAGGGACGTGTCCTCGCTGTTCTACTGTGCCATCTCGGGGAGCACACTCAAGAATCGTGCTGAGGAAGTCAAAAACGCCGGGCAGTCTTCGACAGAGCCAGCAGCAAGTAGGATGACATTGAGAGTATCACGTGCTTCGTCAAAGCGTTGACTTTAACGCTGTCCGGTTTTCCCGCCTTGACCCTGCTGCCCTGTTTCCTGGCACCGGCAGAAGTTAGACAGACTGGAGCTTCCGGATGTGATAACTACATTTCCTTTCTTCGGATAAGCGGTGAGCGAGAATACCAGAATATATATATATATATATATATATATATATATATATATATATATATTGTTACAATTTCTGCTTTCCTTTTTAACTGGTTTAATCACCGCACAGAGAGGTCCGATATCTTCGGTGGCTGGCTTCCAACTGCCTCGCGCACACGCACGAGCACGACGAGCGTTCCCTTCGTCGCGTGCCGGTTGCTTCTCTTTTATGCTTTTTGTTCACCCCGTACTCAGCGTCTCCGCTACACTATCCCCCTCCCGTCCTTTGAAGACCGAGCAAGTCCTACAGAAGTCCCTGATACAAACACAGCCGGTCGCGGTGGACCACGAGGGCCCGTGATCTATCCTTGCGACGTATGCGATAGACCACATCACTGAGACGTTTGATGACGATGAAAGGTCCTTGCCAGTTACGCTGCAGTTTCGGAGAAAGTCCTTTCTTGCGAATCGGGTTGTAAAGCCATACTCTTTCCCCTGGAAAGAACGGGCGTGTTGTGACATGCGCGTCGTACCGGGCTTTCATGCGATCCAAGCCGCTCGCCAAACGCTGTCGAGCAAATGCGTGCACCCGCTCGAGGTTTGTTCTCAGTTCACCTACGTAGGACGCAGGGTTTGTGGTCGGCTCTGATGCTCGTGGAAGGGCTAAATCACAGGGCATGCGAAGGTCATGACCGAAGAGCATTGTGGCAGGCGTATAGCCAGTGACCTCATGAGCAGACGTGCGATATGCATACAAAAACAAAGGCACGATGCTATCCCAGTCATCTTGCTGATCACTGACGAACATGGACAGATGTTGTAGGATCGTTCGATTCATCCTCTCGACTAAACCATTTGACTGCGGGTGGAGAGGCGTCGTTCTTGTCTTTTTGATGTTGAACAATTCGCAGATTTCTTGGAACACCCGAGATTCGAAGCTCCTGCCTTGGTCCGAGTGGATGCTTAGGGGAACTCCATACCGTGTAATCCAGTTCCTCACCAGAGCGTCGGCGATCTCGGAGGCGGTCTGGCTCGGTATAGGAATGACTTCCGGCCACTTCGTGAAATAGTCAACAATGACCAGCAGGAACCTGTTGCCAAGCTTAGATCGAGGAAACGGTCCAAGCACATCAATGCCGACGCGTTCAAAAGGTGCTCCCGTGACATGTTCTTGAAGCGGTGCTCGCTGTTTTACGTGAGGACCTTTCCGTGAGACGCACATGCCACATAGACGGCACCACTGCTTTACGTCATTATGGCACTGCAGCCAGTAGAAGCGCTGCCGAATCTTTTTCAGGGTGCGGTTCACGCCGAAATGTGCTCCTTCAGGGCTTGTGTGCAGCTGGTGAAACGCTTGAGAGCAGAGTCTTCGTGGCAGCACCAGTTGCCATACAACAGAGTTGCCCGCAGCGGACTCCCAGCGTCGGTAAAGAACACCGTCGCGCAGCAGCAAAGAGTCCAATTGCGCCAAGTAACTCTTGAGGGCCGGAGACAGCCGAGATACTTCCTTAGGAGGGGGCCTGTTATTCTGTCTCTTCCATCTTACTAATGGGCCCATGTCCGGGTCGTCAAGTTGAGCGTTTCGGAGCTCTTCTGGCGTCCAGGCTTCGTAGTCGCAGGGTAGGTTGGTTAGTGCGTTAAGCGTGTCGAAGCTGCGCTTTTCAATGCTCAAGCACTGCTTGCACTTTTCACTACATGGCCTACGAGAGAGACCATCGGCATTGGTGTACTTTGAGCCGGAACGATGTTGTATGTCGAAGTCGTACTCATGCAGGCGTTCCAGCCAGCGGGCGACCTGACCATCAGGTGTCTTGAAGCTCAGAATCCATGTCAGCGATGCGTGGTCGGTTCGAATAACAAACTTCCGGCCCAGTAGATAGTGGTGAAAATGGGTGATGGCTTTGATGATGGCCAGCAACTCCCGTCGGGTGGTGCAATAATTGCGTTCGGGCTTCGTGAAGACCTTGCTATAGTAAGCAATGACGCGTTCTTGTCCGTCCTGCTCTTGTGATAAAACTGCGCCAATTGCCGAGGCGCTGGCGTCGGTGTCAAGAATGAAGCGTCCTGTCTCCTTCGGATACGCAAGTGTTGGCGGAGACGTGAGGGCTGTTTTGAGCGTCTCAAACGCGCGCTGGCATTCCGAGGACCAGACGAACTTCGCTTTTTTCTCAGAGCATACAAAGGCTTGGCGATGTGAGCGAAATCGGAGACGAATCTTCGATAGTACGATGCCAGTCCAATGAAGCTCTGCACGTCCGTGGTGGATCTCGGGGTTGGCCAATCAACGAGAGCAGAGAGTTTCCGAGGGTCTGTGGAAACGCCATCCACCGAAATGATGTGGCCGAGGTATTCCACTTGCCTTTAAACAGCGAACATTTCTTCGGTGTGAGCTTCAGGTTCGCATTTTGCAGGCGTGAAAAAACCAAGTTTAGATTGGCCAGATGGTCTGTGACTGTCTTGCCGAAGACGATGATGTCGTCAAGGTATACAAGGCAAATAGTGCCTATGAGCTCGTTCAAGACAGATTCCATTAGCCTCTGAAATGTAGCTGGAGCATTGCAGAGTCCAAATGGCATTACTCTGAACTGATACGAGCCGATACCTGTGGTGAAGGCGGTCTTCTCGCGGTCTTCTGGTTGCACCGGGACCTGCCAATATCCGCTTTTGAGGTCGAGTGTCGAAAACCATGTGCACCCAGCGAGGGCATCCAAGATGTCATTAGTCCGAGGAAGTGGAAAAGAGTCTTTCTTAGTGTCGTCGTTGAGTTTTCGATAGTCTATGCAAAATCGAGTTGTACCGTCCTTCTTTGTCACTAGCGTAACTGGTGATGACCAGGGGGAACATGCTGGTTCAATCACGCCCTGTTGAAGCATTGTCTTCACCAAGTCGTCGACGTGAGACCTCTGTGTGAGAGGAATGCGCCGAGGGGGTTGTCGAATGGGAGAAGCCTGTCCTGTCACAATCCGGTGTGTCGCCACCGAAGTCAGCCCTATATCTGCGTCTCCCGTGCTGAAAAGGCTTGTGAATTTTTCAAGCAGCTGGCAAAACCTCTCAGCATCGAGTTTATCGAGACAAGCAGACGCGCCTTCGTATAATGGTAATACGTGCGCAGCTAGCTTGATAGAGGATGTGCGAGGACACATATACGGGAGGGTGTCGTTTATTGGCAACCCAGTGTCGCAGAGGACCGTCACCTTGGCGGCGCCTAGGGGAAACGAGTCAGTTCCGAGCTGCAGCAATCCAGCGTTGAAATCGAGCACGCACTTGTGTGCTTTGAGGAAATCGACGCCCAGGATGCACTGCTCCTCGATAGCGGCAACGACAACAGGCAGCGAAGCGTGAAGGCTACCCACGGTGAAGGGTACAGTTGTGGAGCCTAGTACGGCTACCATGTCTCCCATTGCGGTTTGCAGAGCATAGCTGTCAGAGCTTTGTGGAACAGCACGATCCGCTTTCATCAAAACTTCCGGTCTAATTACCGAGGTTGTAGCTCCGGTATCAACAAGTGCGCGTACCGAAACTCCGTCGACGACGCCCTGAAGGTAGATAGATGTAAGTGGTGCTGTCAGGACACGCGTTGATGTGATTATCCGCGGCGATGTTGCTGTTGGGTTCCGGCTGCTGGGGTGATACGGGGGACATTGTGCCCGCGTGTGGCCCTGCTGATGGCAGTTCCAGCAAACTGGGGCTGGGGGTGCATGTGTTGCTGTTGTCGGGGCTTGCGGCTGCGTAGGAGGCCTCAGAACCGTAGATCTTGATGCTTGTCGAGCAGCTTCTATCTCCAGCGCGCCCGTGTGTGCTGCTCGGAGAGTCTTGGGGCGTGCTAGGCGAACCGCATCCTGCACCTCAACGGAGGAGATGGCGTCAATGAACGCCATGGTTGCCACAGCGTCAATTGTGTCTTGTGGGCAACCAGGAAATGCAAGATGGGCAAGGCGCTCGATGTCGTCGGCGACTTGAGAAACTGTCTCGGTTGCAGACTGACGACGGTTGCGAAGTTGGGCGTGATGAAGAAAGCAGAGCGGTCCTTCCCCGTAGCGCTCGTTCAGTGCCGCGACCAAGGCTTCGTAGGAATCGCGGGTGTCGGGTGGTAGGTAGTGTAGTACTGTCAAAGCTGGTCCGGTTAGATGGGCGGCCAAGGCTTGCGCCTTTTGAGCCGGAGACCATTGGTTAGCGTCAGCAATGAGGTTGAACTGGGATACGTAAGGCGCCCAAGGAACGGTACCGTCAAATGTCGATGGCTTGAGACGCAGGGTTGAAAGTCGGGTAGCGTTCTGAACCGGGGGGCTTGCGGTGCGCTGCTCCTCCAGTTCAGGGAATCGAGACTCCAAGCGTTGAAAACGTTCTGTCATGGAGGCAGTGAAGTCCTGAATGGATGATGTCATAGTTTGGAGAAGCAGGCTCTCTCGTCGAGCGTAGGACGCTTCGGCTTGTTGGAGCCAGCTTTTGAAGAGGGCCATGGGCTCGGACGCTGTCGGGTCTGAAGAAGCGAGATTTTCGGCGCCGGTAGTTGCGGTGTGGTCCCCTTCGGGACTGGTAGGAGGTTCCATTGCCCGGGGAAGGCGTCGGCCCCAACGGAACCCCCCTTCTGACACCAGTGTTACAATTTCTGCTTTCCTTTTTAACTTGTTTAATCACCGCACAGAGAGGTCCGACATCTTTCGGTGGCTGGCTTCCAACTGCCTCGCGCACACGCACGAGCACGACGAGCGTTCCCTTCGTCGCGTGCCGGTTGCTTCTCTTTTATGTTTTTTGTTCACCCCGCACTCAGCGTCTCCGCTACAATATGTATATATATCTTTCTCAGATTGTTTAGCATGGTATATCGCCAAATTGGAATACCTCAAGAGAGCAGCAGGAGGAGGAGGAAAAGAGGGGAGGAGCACGGGAGGAAGAGAGGAGGAGGGGAGAAGGAGAGGGTACAGATGAGGAGGAGGGACATCCCCTCCTCTCAGTATCATCCCCTCCTTCTCCTCAAGAGCTGCGCTCTAATTAGGCGTTACAGGAAGTCGTAAACGCCTCTCAGTTTTTTAAAATTTTATTTCAGTGTTTCTTTAAACTGCTACACACTATAGCTTGAATAGAGCATGCTTCGTTTCGTGTAAATTACGTTTCAGCCTAACCCGGGCTACGGAGACGGCCACGTCCCAACGAGCTATTCAGAGCATCGGAGAACGGCACGTGACAGCTCTCCACGGAAGGAATGCACAACAGCCGTGAAGAGCTCTCACGTGCTTCGCACCGTCGTTCTGATTGATTCTTGGGGGCCGTTGTTTTCGCCCTTCGCCGAGTTACGCTGAAATGGAGTAATTACATAATTTTCGCTGTCATATGGTTTTACTCACTGTCGTTATTGTTGTTAACACTTATGGAGAATAAGGGTCCAAATCACAAGGGACGCGTCAAGGAAATATAGCGTACATTTCTGGATACACAACAACGCTAAAAGAGTCTGACAGTTTTGCCAAAATAACGAACTGCAAAGCGCAACAGTTTCAACAATCTAAAGGCGAGTGAAGGTGGCGATGGTGTTGCCAGCCTAATATGTTGATTCAGGATCTATTGCTAGCCCATCTGATAATCCGACACACTCCCAGAAGGGCTTGCCGAAACACACTGAAATGCGAAACAGTAAAGCGATCCGACTCGATTCTAGTGCGAATGGGCGACTTCCACCTGACTTCCACCTGACTTCCACCTCAACACCTGACGTGGAACTTTGATATGGCATGGAAGGAAAAGCAATAGCACCTGCCTGAATGTAAAGCAGGCCCAGTTTGGTGTTCAGTTCCGCACTCCCTGGATGGTTGCTGGAAAACAGACATTTAGCGCCATTCAGATGCCAAACTTTCCACGAGGATCATAAAGTATACATGTACCCCATATTAGCTCTAAAATAGGAAAGCGGCCGATGTATAGAAAACAAGATACCGCAATTTTATCTTCTCCGATGTAAAGAACCCGCACCCCCATAGTTATCAGTGTGCTCTTTCAATTTGTAAGACCGCCTGCACACGCCTACATCGCGTGCGCACCACGTCATTCGGTCTACAAGCGTAGCGTATCTTGAATCGAATACCGTAAGTCCACCGATCTGCCTCTTTTTTTCATTGTGTTTCGCCGTATAGGCAGACGCAGACGAATCAAACAAGTCCACTGTGATCCGTGCCTCGTGTCATCCTGCCTGCATGGTTTTATGGTGGCAGTTTGTGCTATTCGTGACTTCAACAAGCAGGGGGCAAATAACTGACCTTAAAAAGAACACTTCCTCCACACGCGATTCCTTGCAGCTTTAATACGCACCTGTCCGATCGGGTTCCTTTAAAAAACCCACATCTATAGCTTTTGCATATAATTCCTTCGTAACTATCCTCCACATGCCCCCCAATCTGATGGCAATGTATACACTGCGCAGCTTCGCAAAGCGTCTCACCGTACTTCATTACACCGTACAAATTTGCCTTGGCCTTTAAGCCAAAAGTACCCAGCCACGTATACGTTTACCGCAAATGATTGATCCTAATTATAAGCGATCGTAAGTCATCTACCACGTTGTTGAAATATTCGTCACCGGAAGAAGATAGATTACATTTCAAAGTAATTTTACTTTTATGGTTTTCTTACTATAGTCACGGCCATGATGAAAACGGCAGGGCGCATCTCTTTCTGGTGTCTGGCCTTCAGCCAATTCCACCTAAAACAATCGAGGAGTGGAAACACCTCTTTCTCCCTCCGCGTAGTCACACCATCGTATAGGGAGTATTCACTGGACGCCATATTTGTGGGTGCTCTTTAAAGCGCATGCTCAGAGCGAAGTCACATTAATAGGCTGCTAAGACCGGCAATCGTGATGGTGTGGAATGCACGCTGAAAAAGAACTGCGGAAGCTAGCCGTCAGCACGCGCTCAGCAGTCGCGCACACAGCTATGGCCGCCAGTGAATAGTCCCTATTCGGATGGCGCCCACTCATCCATTGGGCCCGAGCCTGACGCCGAGCATGCTTCGGCGCGTTGATTGGACATGAGTCCCAGCCGAACGCGACGCAGCATTCATGTCCCATTATAGCCTTCTATGGTTCAATCGGTGTCTGCACTCGGTCTCATTGCGACGTCGTCGAAATGCTAGGGCGTGGTCTTTGATTATTCTAGGTGGCGTTGCTCTAGCACACATTAACTGTTCCCTTCTTCCGTTCTTGTGCTGCACGCACACGCTTTAAACTCAAGAGAAGCCGAAGTGTCATCGAAGCTAGGGTCGCGCTGGAGTCGGGACTACTGAACTCCTCCCTGATGCTCTCATCCAGTCAGTGACCATAGGACATGCGGTTTTTTGTGGGTGGTCGTTTTATTTTGTATGTAAACATGAAGAAACGCGGTACGGGGGTTTGGTTAGGACAAGAAACTTTTGTTTTAATTAATGCGCTAGCATTAGTACTCTCATGACAGAGAAAAGCTGACGGTGTCCGTGTGTGGACAAAACTGTGGAAAGGGAAGCGCGCCGCGTAGAGGGGAGGAGAGTAGAGAAGGACAAAGGCCAGAGGGAGGTGACGTCACGGGGCGGAAGCCAATGGAATCGATTCGCCCAACCAGGGGGCGCTTCGAAATTGCGATTGTAGCGCCACCGCAGTACAACACATGGTCGTGTCGCGTCGGTCGTGTTCGTAGCGTTGTATTGGCGTCGCAAGTGTTTCGAGCGTACGGTGAAGATTTAGACAAGGATAGAAAGCGTGCAAGAATTATTTCTCATTTTGTGTCAAGAAACGATAAAGAAGCTTAATAACACGCATCTTCCACCGAGAAAACGGTTGATTTCAACGCCAACGAGTCGGGTCCGCCTCGCAAGTACGGCCGTGCCGGCAGTGCCAAGTCTACGAGATAACTTTACAGGTGAGCGTCACTTCTTTAAATTTTGCGCCGTAATAACATTGTGCCTTAAAGATTACTAATCACAATGAACCACTGTTCTCGTGAGTCCTGTTAAACGACGTCGGGATACTATTTTTCGGTCGCTGAACCACCGGCAGACGACGTTCTCGCACTAGAGGCTACAAGTGGGATAGCTTTTCGGGGTTGCCCACGTCGAAGAAATATGAACGTGTCGGGGATCATGCGGGCATAGGGTGTTAATTCTGGGAAGAGATAAGTCCCCCTGTACAGTTAAGACTGCAGGTCCTCGCTGGGCTGGAGTCGCGGACCGGTGCGAGCATTGTGCCGACGCTCGTAATTTTATTAGTATTGTTGAACACGCTTCCTGCATCAGCCTGCCTCAGCAGTAGGGAACTAAAACGCCAGGGCACGACCTGAACAAAGGCCTCGTAGGTTTATTACCAAGTATTTTTGTCCCACTTCACTGAGGCAGTAGGTTGCAGTTACTGGGACCTGCTCCTGCTGATTAATGGTACTTTTTCTGCGAGTTTGAGCAATAATGTGCCGCGATATTGTGTCAGAAAGAGGGGCAAAACAGTTGAAAACGAAAAGAGGCTAGCATAGACTAAATCTCCAGCATAAATGTCTGCTATGCATATGACTGCACATAATTTTAGTCGAATTTTCATGACAATGTTGGGTTGAATGGATTTATAAAAAAAAAACTTATTTCTCTTTCAGGTTCAAGTTGTCCAATCCACATGCAAGATTTTCAAATATTGGGTGGGGGCTTGATTCATACTTTACTGTGTGGGACATTTTAGAAGGAAAATGTTGTGTAGCAAAGAAAACACCAGTGACACATGATAGGTTGTCATTAGTAGAATAATGTTTATTTTCTGAAAAAATAATCCATGTCTGTCAGTGTTTTAATTGCTGCTTCACTGAATAAAGTTTCTTTCGTGGCATGTTGGCATGTTTTCAAGCGTTTCCAGGAATGTACCGTATTTTCCGGGCTATACTTTTAAAATTTAAAATTTAGGCTGTGCCTTTCAATATCGTTGATTATGACGAGACGAGACGGATTTTGTAAATGAAAGAGTATGTTAGTGATCATTTATGTATAATACCAGCTTCTTTGAGAGCTAAGAAAGCAGACATTTCTCAAGGTGTACTGTCTTTGAGTAGGATATTCGTGACGACTAAGCACCAGGTGCGGACGATGCACCGTATGTGTACAATCTAAGCAAAATCTATTTTTTACCCCTAATTTGCCCCTGCGGACTGTAGTCTGGAAAATATGGTACAGCAGCATAATGCAACACTTTCAGAAATGTTTTGTTGACAGTGAAAAAGATTTTTATTGAGTTTTGTCACAACCAGGAGTAGGTAAACACACAACCTTGTGGCAATATAAAAGTTCTTCTCATGCTCTTAACACGGTGACATTGGTGCAGACTCGAAGTATGGCCGGCAGGACACTTGCCGATGATGTATACATCTCGAGAAGCAAGGGCTGTCCAAGAAATTGTAGGGCCGAGAACCCCGACTATTTCAGGGATCTTGCACGGCAGATCAGCTGTTCATGATATTCCAGATCTCACGAAAGATATCTCCCAGTTCGTGAGAAAGCCGTCGTCACCTAACTTTATCCATCTTTAGCCAAGCTATATTGAATCTTGGGGTAGACTAAACCAAAACATGCAACTCGAAGACGAAAGAGACTACAGAAGTTGCCAATCAACTAACGATACTTTTAACTGGCTAAGAACCGGGCACATATAGAGAATGCAAAATAGATGAGGAAAGGTCACCTGTATCTTTGAGCGAGGGAGTGAAAATTAATTTAAATTAACTAAGAATCTTTCACGAGCAGTTACAGGGTTGGTAGGTTCCATGCAATTAGTCTTTATTCAACACCTCAGCTGGCATCTCGTCTAGTAACTTGTTGCAGGATGAGCTTCAGCGTTGTCCTTGCAGGTGTTCACAAAGTGCACGCTGCAGATCCTCGCTGACGTTGGCGGAATCAAAACTGAACCGCCCCCACTGAAAAATAAATCAATAATATAAGATCTCTGGTGTAATCAGCGGAAAATCGACACGAAATAGAAACTATTATTGTCCCTAGCAAGTGAAGACGTCATCAGGCTTTCTTTTTATTTTAAAAAGGGGGGATGGGGGGGGGGGGGGGGGCTGGCTGGTTGAGGCGGTTTGGAAGTGCATTCCTTGTGTGTGTTGTTAGGGAGGGGGCGGGGTGCATGTGTATATTATAGCGTCGTACATGATGGCCCCAAACAGTTAAAAAACGGGAACAGCAATTAAGAAACACGGCGGAAGAAAGCTGCACTCGCAACCCCCAAAAGCCCCTCCCCTAGCTAGAAGTATGCTGACAAAGTCAGAAAGGCAGGCAGGGCGTCTCTTGTGAACGGCCGAGCTCCAGCACGTCTTCGTTGCCCTTCGCTGCGATGAGGCTGCACGTGAACGCTCGACGGTCGCGAGATAGAAACCCTGTCGAAGGTTGAAAGCTAGTGCTGAAGGAACTGAAGCTTCTCCCTGCCGTTCTCACCCTGCCAGTGATTATAGTTGAAATATTCGTGCCAAAGGGATCCAACATCACGACCGAAGCCCCGTCAAACACCTCGAGGGAAGCGACAGACGCGAACGAAAATCAAATATTCCGTCACGCAGGCACTGCCAACTGACTTTCCCGCGTTCGGTAGTCATTCTGTTTCTATTCTGACACCAATTCCATTTAGTTTTTTCCGCGTATTTAGCAGAACTGATCTTCCAACGAACGAGAAACTTACTTTGTCGAAGCACCGACGTGGTCCAGGCTTGGCGCCGTTCGAGTCTCGCACGGCTTTTCAGGGGAGCGGTAGAATTTTAAGGATTGACTACGACAATATCGGAGGTTGTTGCTGCGATCAACAATAAAATATTTGTGCTAGCCGGGCTTTTATATCGTCTCTATCGCAATGAATGTTATATCCGACCGCCTACGACGGAGAAGCGAGGCGAGAAACAACGAGCCACTCGGATTCGGGTGTCCCGCCAGGGGCTGGAATGGCGCTGTAGTCAGTGGCGAAACTTGAGCGCTTCGGTCCTATGCGCGCGTGGATGCTACGGCGAGTCTGAACTTGCAGGTGTGCGGAGAGCGTATGCTTAGGTTTGACTTTGTGCTACAAAACGGAGCGTGAGCCAAGTACTTGCGCTGGTCCAAGTAAGCGCCACAAATTAAAGAGAGAACCTTTGCTGGATCTTTAGGGAATGCGTTAGCATGACTTTTGCGAAATGTAAAACACGTCCCCCTTTGGGAAGCGCTACCACTGACCCCGTAACGGAGCCAAAAATAGACAACAAAAACAGAGAAAGCAAAATAGAGAGCCAAAACAGAAAAGTGAAGAGGTCAGCGTTAACATCTCCAAAAGGGGGACGTATGTTGCGTTTCCCAAGGGTTATGCTATTTCTTCTATTAAGGCTGCGAGTTGGACTAGTTGATTTGGATACCCCATAATAAGAAAGGCAAAAAAAAATGAGGACAGAGAAGAGAGGCACGCAGGACAGGGCGTTTATTCCTGCTCTTTTCTGATAAGGAGCAGGCCTTTATCAGTCAAGCTTTAGACACCCACCAGTAACGTCTGGCTTCTGTTATTTTAATCTAAATGCATCCTCTGTGCGCATGTGCGGTTTTCACCTTTTATGTGTGTGTTCTATTAAAATTCTGTTGAATTACGCCATGTTCTACGTGCCTCTCTTCTCTGTCTTTTTTTTTTTGCTTATTTCTCATCATTTATTTCTTGTTCTCGTGTCAATGTGAAGGAAAGAATGTGTGTCCGTGAGAAACGACGATTACTGCCGTAGGATCCCACCATGTAGCTCCTTTCACACTGATGTTTTTCTATTTTTGATGCGTAACCTTCAAAAGCTAGCCTACCCCTAAAGTTCGTATCGCCTGAGTACCGAAAAGAAAATAGCTCGCTAAAAGTACTGAAGAACATTCTTCATGAAAAAGCGAATTACAAAAAGAGACATGTGCAGCAGCCACGGCTTTTTAATCAACTTATTTTCAAAAAAGGCTTCTCTCGATGCAACGCCTCTTCAGTAAACTTCTTTCAAGTAAAAATCAAATAAATTTTCTTTTCCACCATGTGGTAAAAAATGCAGACGTCAACGAGAGACTGCGACAAAAACCTGCTCAACAGAAACTTGACAAAGGTCCCAAGTGCCATGCAGTTGTTAACAGCGTGTCTGCTAACATTAGCATTTTTTTTCGTCTGTGTGAATAGTGTAGTTAAAAAAACTAGCCTAAGAATGGCTTTACCGAATTAATCTATTCACTAGCAGGCAACTCTCATTTTTTGGACACCACCTTCGTTACTAGAACCCAACCCGCTTGAGTGTTTTGTTGTCTGCTACAATGTACCTGACGAGTTGAATTGTAGTGTGTCAGTCTTTCCATCCGGGGACAGCTTTCTGTGGCAATTGTCCACACTGAGCACCGATCAGGTATACGTGCGCTGCTAACCCATTTTCTATTCTAGGACCCCCAAAAGTTGCGAAAAATTGCAAGCATGACGTGTTGGCTGGTGCCACATACGCATAAGGACGAGCTTAATGCACGTGAATGTGCCTTTTAAAAGCCTGTAACCGCGCTTCTTTTTTTCTCACGGAGAGGCTTGAGCGGGGCCAAATTCCAGAACCGTCAGCACGACGATTGCAAGGAGTAAAAGAATCTGCTTTCAACCGTCGTGTCTCAGGCTAGTCTATTACTAGAGTATTAAGAACCCGCAGTTTAGAACTTTGACACTTATTCACAATATGGAGACTCTTAAAGTTCTCCACGCCGATTGGGCTTGAAACGCTACATTAGACGGAAAATATCGAGAGATATGAAAAGAACTCGGGTGCTTACTCAACCGCCTTCCGGTAGACGCTCATCGCCGATTTGATGTCGCCGGTTCGTACGTGCAGTTCTCCGAGCTCGATAAATGTCTCGTCTCTGGGACTTTGCTGCAGGGCTTCGTAAAGGTGTTCCTTGGCCTTTGTGGACAAAAGAGATGCGATGTTTCGCCCGCCTCGCAATGACCACCAGGACGATTACCTTCTCGTAGTTGTTGAGCTTGACGTAGCACACTCCCAGATAGTGGCAGATGTCCTGCATCGATGAGACAGATACTGGACTTTCAGCCGTTCGAAACTTCACCCTAAAGAAATCTGGTGCGTCTTCCTCCTCCCTCCCTCCCTCCCTCTCCTTCTCCCCCCCCCCCCCCCCCAAGCACTTGGATGAGACAATCGCTGCAATTTACTAAGTGAGCTCAGCAGACCTGTACGCTGCTCATTACACGCAATCAAATTACTTGTAATCATTGGCCCTTGGAGTTATTTTGTAATTATTCGAATACGTTTATTAGGAAGTAATCGCAATAGTAATCTGATTACACTTTTTGAAGTACCAAAATTACTTGTAGCCGTTACTATTTTTTCTTCTTCCTTTTTATTGGCGCCCCTTATTCCCACAAGTTTCCTACCAAGGAATCATCAAACCAAGTTCCCGACGGAAGGATGGTTTACCGAAATTCTTGGGTTAAAAATATAAATTCGCACACAAAGAATAAAACAAATTTGGGACAAGGGACAATAAATTAGAAACTTGCTAATCAGCAAGTTTCTAATTCGAACCACATGTTTATTTTCTCAAATTAAAAAGCTATTTATTAAAATTCAGGTTTATACTTTGCTAACTTGTGTGTTTTTCTTTTTGCAATTCCTGATGTCCGCCGGGACTGGCAGTTTTCTCCCCAAAAGTTCATTTTTTTCTCAAGCACCCTCCTTTTAGGGATGTTTGAATGTCTTGGCAGAAACAACCGGTGCACTTCATGAAGCGTGTGCACCCAGACGTCATCCGTACTTGTTCATGCACGTGACGTACTTGCACGGCCTGACGTCATGTGACGTTATCCCTACAAATGGTCATCCCTACTTTTTTTTTTATCTTGTCGAGCAAAACAAGTTCGGTGGTGAGAAATGTCCACCGCAGAATGTAAGTACTCACTCAGCATCAAAGCCACCAGAATGGCTCCTGATGTGACTTCAATGCCGGCCAAAGAGTTGCATTCGGTTCAGATAATTTTTTTGTTTTACTCGGTTTTTTCACCGTTTTGGCTCGAATTGCTGATATAACGATAAGCGCGTTACATATTATATTTTCCCCCGATACTCATCTCGTCTCTCTGACCACTTATTCGCAGGAAAGTAGAGGGAATTACGGGTCTTTACTGGAATGAAATGCCCGGCAACGAGGGATTCCATCAGTCAAACACGGACGGCCGTGTCCGAAAGCGAAGGTCGCCAAAAAATCAGAATCTGGAGACCATCCGCCAGTGGAGACATTCTCAAAAGTTTTATATTCAACGTAGCATCGCGTGACCTCTTATTTACTGCAGTTCCAACTGTGGCGCAAAGGACGAGGGTAATTAGATATCAGCCTTACACCGGAGGGTCCCGAATTTTATCGAGGAGCGTTAAAAAAAGAGCCAAAATGATGGCGTTATTGGTATGGTTCCACGTGTGAGAAAGAACGAACGCACAAGTGTGCACCCAGCCGTTGTGCCTGTAAATGGAAGGCTAGTTCACACATTTGCTTTTGAGTTTGATCGTCTGCGTAGCAATAGCTTGTCACCGCTTACGAAAAACACACTGACGCCACCATATGGTAGCCCTAGAGCTCTTCCGGTCGGCCTATATATCTTACGCATAATTATTTCATTGTGTGCCTGAAATATATCTGATGATATTATAAGCGACAATTTCGAATTGATGGTGCGTAGGCATGATTTCTCAAATCCTGCAAAATCTTCAGTCTAGCTATACTCAGATCGGAAGAGTTCCAGGGCTACCAGATAGATGGCGCCAAAATGCCACTGCGTTCTCTCGTCATAAGCGCCTGCCACGCGGTCTATCACGGCTAAACGCAAATGCGGGAACAACCCTTCAAGTGCGGGCCACACGACAAAGGCGCCAAGAGGCTCAACAGGGGCACGTCGCGCTACCAAGCAAATGCGAGGGACTTTGGCGCCCACAGTGACTTGCCCAGTCCTTGGAGCCTTGTCGAACGCATTCTTCGTAGATGTCTGCGGCAGCCTTGTGTCGTCCGAGGAGGTACCTTGGGTTTCAAGTATACATTTGCAGCAGCCCTTTAATGAGCAAACGAATCGTGTAGTGTCCCCGAAAAAAGAAAAAAAATGTTTTCTTAATTGTTGAAAAAAGAAAAAAAAAGATAAATAAACCTGCGCATTGCCTTAGTCTCCGTCCAAATGTGGTGTAAGCGGTTCTGACAAGATTCCAAACTTTCCGACCTAACCGTGATCTTATCTAAAGGTTGTAAACGATTTTCTTAAACTTTTAGGGGGAAAATGAGGCCCGTTCACGGTGGTTTGCCCCATTCATCCCATGTATTTGGGGGAAGCGTCGGCCACCATTTTCCTAATGAAAATTTTATAAAATCGCTTATAACGTTTGAACTAGATAACGGGAAACCCTGAAGCGCGTTGTCTTCTGGTCCATACCGATAGCGCTACATCTGGGCGGAGAGGGAGCGTTTGGCAGTGCGTAGTTTATTTTTGAGCGGAAAAAAGACACCGTAATTTATTTTTCGGGGACAGCCTGTATAGAAGTACACTTACAGGGACCTGGCCACCTGTTTGAGGTTGAAGGTGTCGCCATTCAGAAGGGCGCACGACTGGAAGAGTTCCATGGATTCGCTGATTCTTCCTTCGTGTCGAAGTATCAGCGCTTTAAGAAAACACAGCAAGTCAGCTAGGCGTGAAAAAGAGCCTGCAAAGTTTCAGGTGTCTGATGTGCATGCAGTACGAGTGGTAATTTTGTCGCTATATAAGTACTCATATAACTGCATCTGCTAAAATTTGGTACTTCAACTGACCCAACATGCTGCTCTTTTTACACTTTGTAGTGGGATTTTATAAACATTCGAATTTTTATGACACAAAAACAATAATATTGGACTCCAGTGGGTACCCATGGCATTGGTGTTTTATCAGATTTGGGACAAAAATTCAAATAACGGAGGTTCTGTTTGTGTAAGTCATATAACGTGTTCATTTTACTACACCCGCGTGCACCAAAATTTAAATATTATGTAGGTGTTCTTAGCTTTAGTAGGATTTCTTCTTTTTCTTAAGTTTAGGAACAGTGTTTCTATCGAGGTTTTGTATGAATAATGTTTGTGTATGTAAACGTCATTAAAAGCCTCTAATTATTTTTTCCCTACTGCCTCATTCGTCCAGATGTGCTGAATTTTCAGGTGACGTTTTGCTAGAATAACTACTTTAATATGAAGTGGTCTAAAACTAAATTTTATAAATTTGTTGGTGACGCACATAATACTTAGTTCTCATAGAGTCAATGCACGTTTAAAATAAAAGAACCTAGGTCATTATTTGACTCAACATTTCAATCGTATAACTATGTAACGTTGCAATAACCGATTCAAAAGCTTTGCAGCACTACTGACCTTAAATGTTTGTTAAGCCTCCTTTATGATGTGGACCAGAATTTGCGAAGAGTCCAGTTTATTTATATATACTACTTGTCTAGTGACTGTAGTCCATACATATGTGGCGAGCGCCATCGTCAGAAACATCACTACTCCCTCTCATCCCTCCTGGTCGCGGGACTGTAGCCCAACGGTGGAACCACCGGCGGTCATTGCTTGATTACAGGCATTACATGCAAGTCTATGGGAGGAATGAAGTAACTTTTTGAAGCTTGTAGGAGTGTCTTGTGAAGAAACGTTTATGATGTTTCGCAGGAACAGCAAGACAGAATTTGCGGTCGTCAGTAACTGTTGAGAAGCTTATTAAATTACACAAACAGCTTACCAGTATCGGTCGTCTGCTGCCACCGATAGATTATAGCGAAGTTCTACTGGCTTCAGGCGATTTTCTTTCAAGATTAATGACCTGAACTATAAGTATAAGCGATAGAAACAAAAATAATCATCACCAAGTTGACATATGCACCGTGCAAGCTGTGTCAAGACACAACCACACAATCTGGTGCTTACGCCGTTCTTGACGCTTGGTGGAAACAAAACTGAGGCCTCAAAAGCAATCTGCAATCTTTGGTACATAACCACATAAAACTAAGCATCGAAGCAAACCATTCTGGCTGCCTGCATGACGGCGTGGCTCCCACTGGCTGCTTGTGTGGCTCGTAAGGCCCGTGGAGGAAGTCAAGGGGGAATAGAAAAGTATTTCCTCCTAAACCTTTAGTAGAAAAAGTATTGACAACACAGCACAATATTTCTCACTGCTTTTAGAAAGCTGCGTTGAAGTTTAGCCGTCCGAAATATAATACAAATATGAGAAACTTCACTTTTTCTAATTTTTTTCGTATGGTTCAACACATTTTCTGGTGTCGAGCAATGGCTGCTGGTTATGACTCTCGACCCCAGCAAAACAAGTCTCGATCCGCGATCCAGCCTACTATAATAGATATCAGTGCTCCCTCCATGGCTTCGGGTCGCCATTATGTGATCGCCTACACAGTAATCTTTCGTATTTCATACCATGACTTATATAAAGTTTGTTTATCCTAATTAGTGACTAGCCTGACGTGACATTGTGTCAGAAGTTTGAGAGGTCACGAGAAAACGGAACCCGACCGCCGAAGTCGCTGGTTACAAGCACGAATGAGAAGCCCGTGGGAAGACTGGCTGCAGTCGTACCAGTAGTATAAAACCGCCGTCCAACTACAAAAGAAGCCGCCTGAAATACAAGTAGTCCCTTTCATGTCCGTCATAGGAACCAAAGCACAGAAAATATACCAAACGTTCCAGTTGACTGAACAGAAGAAGAAAGACGTGAAAGTCATCAAAAAGAAGTTCACGTCGCTCTTCACGCCGCGCATTAACCATGCTTATGAAAAATAAAAGTTTAATCAAATGACGCAAAAGAAAGGAGAGTCATTCACGGACTACACGACAGCAGCGAGACTGCAGGCTAACAAATGCGACTTTGGTCCACTCACGGAAGATCTCTTTCGGGACCGAATCATCGTCGGTGTGCAGAACGACTACACAAGAGAAAACTCTTCACAAATCCAGCCATGGACTTGGACAAGGCAATACATCTTTGCAAGACAACTGAGCAGGCAAGCCAACAAATCAAGGGCATGACGAAAAATGGCACAAGACCGTCGACGCAGTGCGCCCCAGAACGGAGCAAAGAAGATTACAGACGAAAAGCAGACGCCAAAACCGTCATCAGAAAAACAAGTGAAACAAACGACGCCGGCAGAAAGTCAAGTCCTCAAGAACTGCGGATATGGTGGAAGCCAGCACCAAAAAGGAAACTGTCCGACATACGACAAGAACTGCATCACCTGCAACAGAATGGAACACGTCGCAGCTGTCTGCAGAACAAGAAAAAAAAATACAAAAAGAAGTTCACGCAGTCGAACGCACCAACTCAAATAAAGAAATGTTCGTCTTAGAAATCAAGAGTGACAAGAGCAACACAAGTTGCGACTGGCATGAGAATATCGCATTCCTCTACAGGAAAGCGGTGAAAATGAAGATGGACACCAGAGCACGGTGCAATGTGCTACCAGTCAGCATCATCAACAGTCTCAACCTCAACACAAGACAATCGCCAGTCAAACGCGTCGTCTCTTACACCCAGCACCAACTTGACTTTACAGGCGAGGGCTAGGCAAGGCACAGCACAAGCCAGTCAAAATAATAACTTTCATCGTCGTTAATGGTTAAGTAGCACCCATTTTAGGAAGAAAAGTATGCGAAGTGTTGAATCTAGTTAAACGCGTGCAGCTGCTTGAAGCGCAAGAATATGCAAACCTGTACATGCCGAGGACGCATAAAAAGTTTGTCTTCGTTGTGGACCTAAAAAACGATCCAGTCGATGGAGGAAACAGACCACCCAGAAAAGTGACATTTGCCATCATGGATCACCTCAAGGAAAAACTTGACAACAGGGAGAATGCTGGAATCATCAAGAAAATCAACCATCTAACTCCATTCTGCAGTCAAACTGTCGTTGTCAAGCATAAGGACAAGCTAAGGATCTGCCTAGACCCAACAGATCTTAACAAGGTCCTACTCCGGGGACATTTCCCACTAAAGACGCTCGACGAAATAGCAGCAGAGGTCAGTGGATCCACTGACCCAAGAAGGGCTTCTGGCGTCTAACTGTGTCCGAGAAGACGCAAAAATATCTGGCATTCAGCACACCATGGGGAAGGTACACCTTTCTACAGGTTCCTTTCGGAATAGCAACTGCATCCGAGGTATTTCAACAAGTTATCACAGAAATCCTGATAGGCCTCCCAAACGTTGCAAACTGCAAGGATGACATACTGATATACGCCAAGACGACAGGAGAAATGAACAAACACACCGAATCAATCTTGGAAAAATAATAAAACAGAAACAAAGAAATAGAAAAGACTTACACAACACAATCTGCTGCCTAATATTCACCAGCTCAAACTACGCCCTCAATCTTCTTTCAGTCTTGCAAACACTCCGACAAGCCGGCGCTAAGCTCAACCAACAGAAATGTGTGAAGGCAAGAGTTACTCTTAACCTGTAACCGACTATAGTTGGCAGATCCGTCACCGGGCGTAGTTTACTACTTTCTCGTTTCTCTTTTTTTAGTTATTTATATCTATTGGTATCTTTAGATACCGTAGCAGGATAGGAAAAAAAAAACAGATTTTCATGGAGCACTATTTCGACGCACCGCTAGAAAAATCAGTAAAAGTGGATACATTTACTACATCGGGTAACATGATGTTTCAATAAACTATTGTTCTTAGAAATAAATAAAATACTTAATTCCTTCAGCGTTTTATTAAGAGAGTATCTGTTTTTTTTTGTTAGGATAGAAAGAAAAAAGACAAACAGCGGGAACGAGCTTTCAATGTCCATTGGTTGACTTGCCTTGAATGTGGAGTGCGTACTCGGAGGTGCCCTTCGTCTCGGTCAACATTTCCCGAATGAGGGTCTTGCAGACGTTGAAGTCCCTTCTGACATAATGCAGGTGGATGAGCCAGTTTTTCCTTTCCAGTGACGGGTGTTCCGGAGCTAAGATAGGCATGGAAGTGCAATTATCGACCAACGCGCTGTTTACGAACATGGTTGCGTCTGCCCACGCCAAGTGTGGGCACTGCGCGTGCGCAGAAACCAGAGTCGCGTAACGTGAACATGCATGCGTTGCGCCTACAGCAGCTGCGTGTTGTCAGAGCAGCGCGTTTGTGCATACAAATTCGTTCAGTGTGCTTCGTCTTGCAACCTCTGCATACGTGCACCTCTGCAAAGTAGCTTCGAGACCGAGTCTATCTTTCTGGTAAACACCAATTAATATCCCAGTTTCCCAGGCACTTAAAAGGCCTTCAGTACGAAGGTATTTGAATTGGTGAGAATCGGCGAATCAGCTCGCGACCTCCGAGTCTGCGCGTGACCCACGGCATGTACTGGTTCGCCGATTCCCTAAAGGCCATTGTTTTGTCGGCCATTGAATGGCTCGTGAAATAGGAATATAAGATGAAGCTTTCAAGGTACTCGGTGTCTTTCTGTGCGGTTTGTAAGCAATATTTTGAGATTCGAATGACTGAATTTTTACTGTGACCTATGACCTATCTTGAAAGGATATAGTATAATAAGTTGTAGAAAACATTGACACAGAATGAAGAACCTGTCTTACGTTGGAGATCTCGACGCTCTTTCCCGCGTTTCTCTGCTAAAAGGAAAGCACCCAATGCAAAACGCGTGTCGAAGAAACCTTATTGAGTGAAACTGGGAGGTGAAGTTCAGATTCACCCCACCAGGACCGAATTCATACCAGCTTTTAGCGATGGTACGTTAGAGCCCTTGTATTCGTAAAAATCACGACAGAACTCTTTTCACTCATTTGAACAGAGTGTTTCAACGCGCTAGTGTTTTCTGTTTACATTTAACAACACGCTGCTACTATTTATCTGCTTCTGTAGTCCTCAATATTGTTTAAAGCTGGGGTCGTACTGCTCATACGTTATACAAGAGACCGCCTGCACACATGAGTCACCGCAATATCTGGTTCGAATGACGCTCTCCAAGTTTTCTTCTTGAACTCCTTGCCATGCGGCATTGGAAGCACGTGTCTTGCGGCGACTCGCGTTTGAATCTGTATGAAAACTGTCTTTTGCATGATGTATGAGCACTATGAACCATGTTTAATGTATACACTGGGTGACACTGTTGGCGCAAACGCGAGAGTGGGGATTATTTTTAGTTTGCTTGTTAAAGGTGTTGGCCTTCCTTATATTTTGTCCCTTACATTGGTGCACCAAAAGCACTTTCATCCACACCACCCAATTTTGATGATAACAATTCAAATCTATGGGGAAAAAAAACGAAAAAAAGGCGATTGTTTGCTTACGCTAATAGTGTCGCGCAGTGTACGTGTGTTGACCCTATCCACAAAGCAGTCACAAAAATAATATTAAGTAAGAAATATTGAAACGCACAATGCCTTCTGTCTTATCAGCTGCTTTTATGTTTGATTCTTATTTCATTACCAACGCACTCAACTCCAAGTTTGTACCAGAACAGCGAAAAATTCCGAGGCAGAAGAACACCCAAAATGCCAGCAACACCACGGAGAACTTAAAAATCTAGACGCTTCTTTGTGGGCTTTGCTGAGACTTTGAAACGGCGAGTCGCATAATTATTGACGTGAGACGTTCTTTGGCTATAGATGTTCGGCATTTCGTGAAGCCCAGATAAAAGTGAATGTTGCGTAAAAGCTTGGTCGTGAGGCTCGACACTGATTATCATCGTTATCGGGTAGAAGAGGAGGAGTGAGCTGCTCGAAGCGGATTGGTTAACGGGGAGATCATGTGACCAAACAGCTAGACGAGAAGGATTGAGGTAGAAATGGAGGAACTCGACCACCTGTGCGCACAGAGCGGAGAGGTGCTCAAGAGTATGAAAGGCTCTGGAAGGTCGCCAGGTTTATCAGCCCGATTTGCGGGAGTATTGCTTCATTCTAGGAACAACTATTATATCAAGTGTACACATGCCACCCGTTAAATTATCCGATGAAGAGCGTCATGAACATAGGTGTCAGGCGTCTGAGAACTTTGAGTATAGCTAAATGTTTATGATGCAAGAACGTTTCACGTATCCAACGCAACTAACTAGCAATTTTACATAAAATATTTTGCTCAAGAATTCAAACTGCGCTGAGAGTCAAAATGACTACGCTTCGTCCAGCTGCCAGAGGGTCTTTTTCGTGACGAAGATGCCCTCTTCACACAGGGTCACTGCTAAGTAGAGGTGTGCGAATACGGGTTCAAATCGAACAACGCAGTTTCATCGCTAGATTTATCACTGCTAAAAACAACAACAACACTAGTTGTGTTTTTTTTTTTTTTTTTTTTTACTGTGAAGGTTATAAAGGACGGAGTGCTGTTCGATTCGAAATCCTATTCGCACACCCCTAGAGCTAACCTTAGGCCATCGGCACTCTACTTTTCTATTTTCTTGAAGGCGCCGTCATTTTGGTGCTTTGTGCAGAGCGGGAGCAATAGACCTTTTTCAAAAGTCCGCGGCGTCACTTGTACTCCATTGCTTGGTCACGTACTCTGAGCATGTCTTGGACACGCGTCAGCTTTGGGCGTGAGCATGCAATGGCATACGTCAGCGACTTTCATTGTTGCTTGATGGGCCTTTGAATGTGTCTGACGTTTTCTTGATACCTGTAATATCGAGTGTGGCATCTGGCTCCGGGAATCTCCAGGAGGTTGTTGCTGGAATTGTTGCTTGAGTAAGTTCCTCAGGCAGGTATAGTTTTACCTGAGCCAGAGGCTTAAAATTACTCGAGGTATGTCTCGTAGATGGTATGGAAGCAAGATGGTGGTTGTGATTCCTGACATGCCTTAAATGCGACCATAGAGTTTCTGGTATGACCAGGACGTCTACAGGTATGACGTGTGCCTCCGCTATTGCATTCATGGTGGAAGCACAACTTGGAAGGCCGAGGCAGGCTCTTAGGGCGCGTGCTTGAATACTTTGGAGTGTTGGAAGGATTTAGGCACGCGCCCTTAGAGCCTGCCTCGGCTTTCCTAGCTGTGCTTCTACCGTGGGTGCAATAGCGGATGCATTAGTCATACCTGTAGACGTCCTGCTCATACAATAAATTGCAAGGTGCATTTAAGGCGTGTCACTAATCACAATAACAACCACCATCCTGCTTCCATACCATCTACGTGGCGTAACTCGAGTTATTTTAAGGCTTTGGCTCAGGTAAAACAACACCTGCCTGAGCATTTCACTCAAGCAACAATTCCAGCTACGCCTCCCTGGAGATTTCCTGGAGCCAGATGTCACACTCGATATTCCAGGTATAAAGAAAAAGTCAGAAACACCTATGCTTGTCCTGTTACACTTCCTTTGTTCAACATTTGGTGTAATCATGCTTCAAGAATGCATGTCTACACAGCTGACTCATCTAATTCTGAAAGCTGCACAGGTTGTGTAGTTATCCCAACTCATTTGAAAACTAAGAAATTCAAACTGAGTCACAAAACATCATCACCGGCGCCAGAATTAGTGGCGATTTAAATAGATCTTCAAATCATATATGGAAAGCCATCCCACTCCTGGACAATATTTTCTAACTCTAAGCCAGCTCCGCGAACAATATGCGCATTTTTACGACGCAGCCAAAATGAACAACTGGTGCTTGATTCTTGATACAACTGGTGCGAAATCAGCCCATACCTTAGAGGCTACTCTTACAATACCGTATTGTCGGAGCGATATAAGATCTTTAATAGATCATCACGCAATCAAAGCAACGAAGAAGCAGTGGTATGACGAATCCTATCATTATGGTTTTCTCCATGCACTGGGCCCTAACCTCTCCTTCCAGCTTCCACGAGACCTTCCTCGGAGGACTGAAGAAGTCATACAGCGACTACGACTGGGTGTCGCTTATATGCAGTCTTTTCTGTACAAAATCGATCAAGGAAGAACATCGAAGTGTCCAGGTTACGCGTGCGACGAAACAATCACTCATGTGTTATCTGACTGCGCGATATATAACATCGAAAGAAAATCCCTCAACAATGCCCTTGCTCACCTCGACACTTGACCATTTTCTATGAAAAGAGGTACTCGGCATCCGGGACAGCCCTCCTAAAGAAGGTCAGGCTCCAAAGGGTTCTACTGTGTTTCATCAAAAACACACGTCTAAATTTCTGCCTTAAGAAGATTTATTTATTTATTCTGCTTAATGTGCACACAAACAGCTCGAGGTCTTATTAGTGCGCACATATTACAAACAATAAAAGAACAGATACAAACATGCAAACAAGCAAGACGTGATTTAGGAAAGATAAAAGGAAATAAATAAAACTACGGAGAACAATGGAGAACAACAGCAAAGATGTTTGTCAAGCGGCCAACAACGCTCTTCTAAAATTTAAAAGGTGTGAAAACAATTCTAAATCCTTCCTATCGTGATTATAAAGGAGCTGAAGGCGTGTCATCGGGGAACACATACTTTCTGCGGGTAGAAAAGAAACGAAAATCTGGTCCGCTTTTGGGGAACACTGAAAGAAATCGCCCTTAAAAGTAAAGGTGCATCAATTGTAGCGTTCACTATCTTATACAAACAACTCATGCCTCGCGATAATCTTCTTTTATGCAAAAGTACCAGGTCAAGCAGATTAAGTAAGTATTCATATTCAAAATAAATGCGCCTCCCAATCCATCGATCGTAAACAATACGCACGAGCTGACGCTGCACTTTTTCTAAAATACATGATTGAGTCGATCTAATGCTGTTCCATATGACTGAGCAGAACTCAAGTTTAGACAAAACAAGGGAGCGAAATAGATGAATCATGCAAGCGTAAGTACGAAAATTCCGCGTCATTCGAGAAATAACGCCTAGCACCTAATAAGAATCATTCACAACTTTCGAAACATGCTCAGTCAACGAAAGGCGGGAATCAGACAGTACTCCCAGGTCACGAATAGGACCTGACCTCGCGATAGCTAAACCTAACATGGTATATGGATACTCAATGCAGCTTGTCTTACGGGTAAAGGAAACAACCTTGGTCTTACTGAGGTTAAGCACTAAATTAT